AACATGAAACATCAACTAACCTTTTCCCCTTTACCTTTCTTTGACAGTCCCCCATTTCAATAGAAGAAATAGTGCAACAGATGGAGCTTAAAAAATATATAAAGTCTTGCAATGTCTAGCCATTAAATCACCACTTGTAAATAATATATAAATGGTTTGACTAAAATTTATGCAACCAATGCCAGAAATTAAATGGAGCTTCTATTAATTAAAATCCAAAAATGAACATTGTAATCTATCCACAATAAACTTAATTAACACTTTCAAACATGATTTGAAATACCGTTCAGTCTGTACCATAGTTGACCAGTATTTATCGCTCCAAGCAAGGACTAATGTCGGACCATATGAGACGATAGTGGTCGATATTAATTTTTCAATATTTTTGTCCATACTGGGTGGTGTGGATTGATATGCTTGGTATATGGTACCATACCGTTACAGTAGATCCAGAACAGTCATCTGACCAAGATTTAAATCCATGCTTCGCTCATGATAAAAACAGAGCATAGCATTTTACCAGACTATTAATATCATTGTTCTTCAAGTATAAGAGAAGTCCTAAGATACACTAGATCATAATCATGATCGAATTACCAGGAAGGAGGAACCAGAGAAGAAATCAATACCTTCCATTTTGTCCTCAAGGCCCAATGAAATAGCCAGCTTTGGCATCTGCCTCCGCCATGCAAAGTTCACCACGAGCCTCTGGTATAACTCCTTGTCGGCCTTCCCTACGATCCCAAAAGTCACCAAATGCTGGAGAAACGTGTGTGCATCGGGTGGCTTCACACTCTCAATCCCTCCGTGCTGCTCCAGCCACATCTTCCACTCCTTCGCCATCTCCCTGGCTCTCTCCCTTATATTTCGAGTTGCCAATGGCCTCACCGTTCCTAGCTCTGGATCCGCCAGGACCGGCACTAGTGATTCCAAGACCAGCACGCAGGCCCACCCGAGATCATTCGGCGACTTCACCGGTCTCTTATCCACGGGGAAGACTCCAGAGACGGCGTCCATCACGAATTTGGCTGGATCGATGCAGTTGGCCAGAGCCACCGGGAGTTCCAACCGGAGGAGCTCCACCTCCTTCCTTTTCGCGACCACAAGGTCGAAGAACCCATTGAAATCCATCTTCGTGCACAAAGAACGCAGCTTTTCGGCGAGATCAAGATCGTCCCCCCCCGCAGCGGTGGCGGATAGGGCCTCGACGGCGGCGGCACGGCGCTCGTCGAGCTTGGCGATAGCAAGCTCGACGGCGGAGTCGATGGAGAGCTCGCGGCGGCGGAGAGAGTCGAGGGCGTGCCCGGTGGAGGCGTCGAGGGACTGGCGCTTGGACCGAAGGGCCTCCGACTTTATCTCGAGCCCCTGCTGGAGGATGGAGAAGTGGTCGGAGAGCTCCTTCCACAGCAGCGTGCAGCTGGTGATGAGCTCCCGCTGCTTCTCCAGCTCTGCGAAGCTCTGCTGCACCACCGAACTCGGGATGACGGCAGCCGCCTCCGAACCCATCTCCAATCTCTCCGAATCGCTCCTCGAAACCTCGATTTCTGATTTCAATCACGGGACAAACAGAAAACGAAGAGAAGAGGAAAACCTAACCCTAACCCTAGAGAGAGAGAGTCGTGGGAAAATGTCGGATAAGAGAGGAAAGGACGAGGAGAAGGGAGCGGGCGGAGTGTCAGCGTGGCAGCCAATGGGGGGACGAAAGGTGGCATTGGCGCACTGTAAAGCGTTAAAGAAAGGCCACGTCACCCGTGATAAAATTCACGGGGATATGTGGATTAGCTTTGGCGGAGAACAGCCCAGATTTGTTATGGGCTAATAACAGGTCGGATATTATCACTAGCACCCGATCCGTTTGTGTGTTCGAAGCTGTGACTCGTGGCTGATAACGTGTCGGACGATAAGGTCCACCCGATCCGATTCTGTCTCAAGGACATGATTTGTGTGGGGCCCCCCATATCGCCGGCGCAGTCTTTCTACAGTGATTTGTTATGTTGTATATACCTTACTAGTTCTTATACCTTATTTATTATTGGGCAATCTTTGGAAATTTACATGGACCCGAAGTGAAGCCTAAACATCTCCCAATAAGATTCGGGTACAAGAAGTGGCAAACAAAAGAAGTATACTTAAACTCAAGTGGACGCGTGGCGGACAAAGAGCGGTGCTATTTTGTCGAGCTCCTTTCGTGACAAAATCCTCTTTCTCTCTCCCGTCCGTGGCGGCGCCCTCCGCTTCGCCTGCCTCCCCTTTACCGTTTCTAGGGTTTGGGCCATCGTATCCTCCCAGAATAGCGCGCACTGTTAGTCCCTTCGTTGCCACCTCGAAATCCGACCATGGCGGCCGTCGCACCTGCTCCTCTTGCTGACCGTATCCTTCCCTCTGCTCGGGAGTCGATTTAGCTTCTCTCTCTTTGCTTCCATTTCGTTGCCGACCCTCTTTGCTGCTATCCCCTCTTTTTCGGCTAAAAGATTGATTTGCTCCGTTGATTTAGTATTTGGGGTTTTTGTCGGGTGGCACTGGCGTGATGAACAGTGTCTCCGTAGGTCTTTTTTTCGAATAGAGCGTTTGGGGTCCATAAAACGAGATATTGCCACTATATATTGGTACTAGCTTCTTCTGGTCTTAATATGTTTTTCCGATGTTCGATCATGCTGACTTCTCGAGAGGTTTCTAAAGTGTTCGCTGTTGTTCTTCCCTTGGTTTGTCTTATATGTATTTGGTTATTCTGAAAATTTCGGCAAATACTATTACTCCTTAATTGAACTGTCAAAGAAACTACAGATCTGATGCGGAAGCTATCGTTGGATTCTAAGAACATGAGTAGCGATGCTTCAGAGGTGACAAAGAAGGTAGCTTTATGAATTCGCCATTTCGATCGATGTAAATCATCCGTTTGCCTTTTCTTTTTTGTTTGGTATGAGGTTTGTAGTTTCTGAATTTTCATATGCTCGGTGCTGATATTTTTGGAATTTTCCTACAGCCATCTGGGGTTCAGTATGGTTCAGTAAATGGTAGGGAAGCACCAATGGTGTCGATCCCCACGAGCGAGCGGTCTCTGACTCCGCTGCTTCAGGAGCATCTCGATACGAGCATGTTCTACTACCCCAATGGACATGCTTCATCTTTCTACTATGGAGGTAAATTAATTTTTTAGATATTTTCCTTTCATTAAAATTTTGCTAAACGTATCTGATTGATGAAAATGTTTTTCTTTATGATTCTTTGTGGGGTTGTTTTGGGATTTTTGTTTTGGTCACTTAAGTTTTTTAGCTGCCTTAGGAATTTTTTGAGTAATTCTGAAGGAATCATCCAATTTCATTTTGAAAAATTCAGGTTATGATGGATCAGCAACTGAGTGGGAGGCTTACCCAAGATACGTTAGTCCTGATGGATCGGAGGTGCCTCCACTTGTAAGTTGTCTTGGACTGTCCTTGCTGTTTTCAAGTGTCAATTGCATTCATAGGGTTTGTCATTGGGTTGATAGTTTTATTTGCAAACTTGATACTGATAGGTTATTTTGCAAGTCTCGTCTTTCTGTTCTTGTATATGTATTGTAAGAGCAAGTTTTTTTATAACATTTCCTGATTATTGGCAGGGAGTTTATGGTGACATGTATCACCATGGATATGGTTATGCTTCTTATGGTCCGTGGTTGGGACACAACAGTCAGTTATATGGACCCCAGCATTACCAGTTTCCGCCTACATATTACCAGCCACCCACACCCACACCCACTTGTGTGTCATACACGACAAGCCAAACTCCTAGTTCTAAAGGGGAAGTATCCACATCTGCTGCTGCTGACCTCCCTTCTATTCCAGTAGACACAAAAGCTGATTCAAATGTGATGGCTCAAACAATAACAAATGTCAATGATGTATCAGCAACACTCAAACCAAACCAACAGAACTCATTGTTGAATCAAAGTGGCTCATTTGGTAAAGGTGGTTTGCTTGGTGGTCTTCCTTCAGGCTACCAGGATCCAAGATTTGGTTTTGATGGTATGTGGTCACCCGTTCCATGGTTTGATGGTCCTATATTTTCTGATGGACAACATAAGCCAGCTACAACTAATAATATTTCTTCTATGACTACACAAATTGGCAACACTATGTCCACAAGAAACCAGAATACCCGCCTCCAGCCTCATCACATGGTATGTATTGTTGTAATTGAAATCTTTGTATATTTTGCTGAAGTTGCTGAAGTAGATTTATACCTGTGAGGAGATAGGTTTACAACTTGACACTTGCCTTCTGTGACAACCTGAACACAGGAAATTTAGACTTGCTTGCAGCAAGCTAAGTGCTGGTCCTGAATTTGTGTGTTTTGGGTGTGGGAAAACTCTTCTGAGGCAAACCAATTGTTCGAATTCGTTTTGCTGCAACATTGGGAGTTAATTTTTTCAACTCTGTTTACTTTAACAAATTATTTATTATTTTGCCAGGGAATGCATGCCTCAGGACCAGCAGCTCCTGGTGTGGCGAACAAGCTGTATCCTAGCAACCGGATGTATGGTCATCAGAATGCTAATGGATTTGGAAATCATCAGAGTTATAGTTCAAGTATGTACAACTCCAGAATGAATGGAAGATGGGGGATGTCTACAGATAACAACTATAAGTCAAGGGGCCGAGGTAATGGATTCTGTGGTTATGGTAATGAGAACTTGGATGGGCTAAGCGAGCTCAATAAAGGACCAAGGGCTGGCTGTTTCGGAAACCAGAAGGGGTTTGGACCTAATGTTACCATTGCAGTAAGGGTACAGAGCCTTTCTGCAAACGTAAATGTTCAGGAGTCTGTTGCAATTCCTGGAAGTGGTCAGTACAACAAGGCAGACTTCCCTGAGACATATTCAAATGCTAAGTTTTTCATCATTAAGTCATACAGCGAGGATGATATCCACAAGAGTATTAAGTACAATATCTGGTCTAGCACTCCCCATGGGAACAAGAAGCTTGATGCTGCGTATCAAGAATCTAAAGAGCAGACAAGTGGATGCCCAATCTTTTTGTTTTTCTCTGTAAGTGTTACTTTTCAATTTTAGCAATTTCTTTCATTTTTATTAATGACCTTTTTTTTTTTTGCTGTCGACTTATAGGTGAATACGAGTGGACAATTTGTCGGTGTTGCAGAAATGATAGGACGAGTTAATTTTAACAGAACATTTGGTTACTGGCAGCAGGATAAGTGGATTGGGTGTTTTCCTGTTAAGTGGCAGATTGTGAAGGATGTACCTAATAACATCCTGAAGCACATAATATTGGAAGACAACGAGAATAAACCAGTGACAAATAGTAGAGACACTCAGGAGGTAAAGATATCATTTACTATCAACTGTTTGGAATCTTAAGTTGATTATTCCTGTCTGCCTCAGGTGAAGCTAGACCAAGGTCTTCAACTGCTTAGGCTTTTCAAAGATCATGTGAGCAAGACATCCATTTTGGATGATTTCAGTTTCTATGAGGACCGCCAGAAGATGATGCAAGAAAAGAGATCCAAGCTACAGCTGCTTCAGAAAAAGGCATGATGAGATACTATATCTTTAAATTACTGATATGCTAATGTTGGTTTAGAAGTTTCAATTGATAGTAATACAGCAACCCATGAGTCATGCTTAGCTTTGTTTGTTTGAAAATGTTCATTTTGATGACAGCAATTATAATGTTTACAACTGTGCCACATCTTTTGGTTAACCTCATTATGTGCTTCATTTTGGTTTGCAGTGGTGGTTGCATTTTTTTTTCAAACTTGTTCTAATCAGCATGGAAATTATAATTTGCTTTATGGTCCTTCCAGATCATCGATGAAAGCCCGGTGCATTTTGATGAGAAAGATATGGATGGGGTAAGCAGGAACCCTGGACTACAAAAGCCCTTGGAAGTGAAGAATGAATCCGGCCAGGGTGAGCTTGCACTTGGGGAATCAGCACAAGCAGAAAGAAGGGTGGCGCTGCTGTAGCTGATGCTAAACCAGTGACTGAGAAGTTGGTTGTGGTTGATGGGGTTCCGAACTGCTGCTAAGTTATTGAACCCATTTTGAGCAGCTACAACCGTAAGCTGCTCTCAACAGCTGCTCTCAAAGTTTTACAACATAAGGAATTTATACTATATCGTCCACGAGGCATGCATGTTGCTGCCTATGCCCAGGGTCTAACTCAGCCACTGAAATGTAGCTAAGTAGTAGCTTTCCTGTCCTAGCTTAATAGTTATATAGAGTTCGTTTTCCATTTCCAAGCTGCCCTTGGAGGTGGAGATTGGTAACTAGGGTTTTCATAGGTATTAGAGTCAATCAACCTGTTCTATGTGCACCTAATAGTGTATTTTCTTGCTTTCTTTTCATCTGCAAGGATCATCTCTTTGGCTGATAGTGGCTTGTTATTTTGGTGGTCTTCTTTGGTGTCAGGTGCTCATTCTCATCTCCCATAACTCAGCAGCAGTATTCTTAGCAGTAGGTTGCACTAGAATGCTGTTCTTAGAGATACTGGATTAAGATGCAATGTAGAAGTTGTCTTGTAACCTGACTTGCATCCAATTATTCTTTGTCCTCTTCACAAACATCCTCCATTATGAGTTTGAATTAAGCTTATGGGGGACATTATGGCAAACTAAGCTAATCATCATGACTGAAGGGGGTAAGTTAGATTGGAAAATAAACTAAGCTAATCATCATCACCACTCAACTGAGACATCAATTTACCATGTGAATTTGGCATTTACTTCTAATCAACTCCTATAATATTACTATGATAATATCGGTGTCACTTCCTTATGCTCTAATTCAGTGTTTTACTTTGTATGGAATATATTGTTATCAATTTTTACTTTATTAAATATCAATTTATCAAATATAAATTATATGTTTCTCATATCTATATTTTTAACTAATTAGTTGATTCCTTCACAAGGTCTCTAGCTCGTAGGATATTTCGATTACATCAATCCAAGATTTTATATCTTTGATGGAAACTTAATTTTATAGAGACATGATAGAAGATTATGATAAAAATAAATATAAAAAAATAAATTTACATTCGTGATCTGATCCTCAATCAATTTATGATTCAAGGATCGTTTACCATGATGTATGTGCATGATTTAAGTACATGATTGAAGAAGACTCTTCCTCAAAACTATATAAATATGTATTACGTCAACAAATAAATTTATTTGACAATATGTCTAAGTGTTAATAGGTTAAAGAGAATCCATATTTGACGATAGATGTAAATGCTAATAGATCGGATGCGAGATGAATATAGATCAAGAAAATAGGTATCTGGGTCCTGTGTTAATTGGTTTGGAATAAATATATGCAGAGAAGTATTTGGATCGGACTTGATACGAGTTTGTGTTTGTGAATAGTTTTGGTTGGATTCGGATTAGAATTCGGATTCGGGTAGGGTTAATTTTTCGGGTATCCTACTTGTGGCTTTCCGTTACCGTTACATACCCACAACATACACTAGGTAACGGTGAACCACAAATCTTGACTCGTCGCGGTCGAACGCGAACCGGTATAGCGGGTGGTGGAACAGCCTTCGACGGCTCTCGTCTCCCTGCTCCGCCGCTGCCTCTAACCCGAAATCCTCCGAAGAATGGCGAAGGTTCGCCAAGAAGAACCCTAGAGTTCCTCTCAATCCTCTCACCCGTTTTGATCCCAGCTCCTTTGATTGCTGCCAATCCGACCCGTAATCCGGCTATTTCATCTTTATATCGAGTGGTCTATCAATTATTTCCGAGATCTAGGTCTTGGCCGCCAAGCAGCTGACCAATTGGATAAGGATCGATATTTCTGCATTAATCCTTTGATTTAGGGGGAAAGCTGCGATTTCTGTTGGAGCAGGCCGAAATTTTCAACAGAATGCCGCCGATTCTATCGTCTCCTAAGGCGATTGCTAGGCTTCTATCAGGAAGAAATCGATCTCTGGATCTCAATGCTCGACTTGGATTTGTGAGAAGGTACCTTGATACCCGGAGGAGGTGGGAGAGATTTGCTCAGAGTCGATGTTTGGCCAGCTTTGCTCGCTATGGAAACCCTTGCGCTGGGCAATTGTTTCGTTCTGCAAAAGACCTCGTTCCCTCCGTCGGTAATTTGCATCGCTACGATCAGGGAAGATGGTTTCTTGGTTGTGGGGATGGGGAAGAAGGATCTCTTCTTTCTAAGATCTATGAGGAGCGGCGTGTGATGGGGTATGTATCCTGTGTCTGCTTACTTAAGCAACTATCTTTCCGCCTTCATTCCTGTGGGAATTGCAAGTCCAGATTCATGTATCAATATTAATAATCACAGTTAGATTATCCATTTGTTTGTTCACGCACTGATGGTATTATGCAGAGCCTCGTAAATCACTTCCTCTTGCAGGTACTCTCCAGAGCAGTTATTTTCGGTGGTTGAAGCTGTTGACCTGTACGAGGACTTTGTGCCATGGTGCCAACGATCTACAATTATTAAGCGGAATAGTGATGGATCATTTGATGCTGAGCTAGAGATAGGTTTCAAGTTCCTCGTTGAAAGTTATGTTTCTCATGTAGAAATGGAGAAACCAAAGTATCTTAAGGTTTGGAACAAATTTCTTCTCTCTTTTAGTTTATATGCTCATGACATATGAAACTATTATTTAGAAATTTCTGCTTCTTGTCATGGGCTTAGTTGGTTTTGCTTAAGTCGTGCGACGCCGTTACATGTTCATCCGCATAGGGTTAGTATCTCTGAAACCTCTTATGGTCCTTTAAGGACCTGCAAAAGAGAAGACGGTTAGAGTAAACGTTTAATTTGAGATCCCACAAGTAGACATTTCAGTAAACACTTGATAGACAATGCAAATTACAAACATAGGCTTCGTAAGCTCTAAACAATATCGCGCGACAAAGGGTCCAAGGTGGTCCGCCGCAACCAAAAGTCCCCACAAGTGCCCACATGACACTACTGCGGAACAAGATAGTGAACCAACCCTAGACACTTCCCCAAAGGCCCATCTGGCCATGTGCCACTCGGGTAGCTCCTGATTGACACTCTGTATCACTTTATGAAGCTAGAAAACCCCCATAATGACTACCTGGATGGTCTGTTTCTGGGTAGTTTTGCCTTTGCGTGATGACTACACACAACTTACGTTTACAAGACTGAAACGATTACCAAACTTAACCGAATTGGGGCTGACAAGCCTATATGCTATGTAAAACATGAACAAAACCGACATATACAGACATGCACAAGCATTACATCGAACACCCTGTTTACAGTTTTGTTCGTGATATTCTGTTAGTCCTTTTTATTCTTATTTTAGGTATTTTAGATATTTCTCAATTTCTAAAGTATCTGTAGAGTGTGTTGATCCCTTCTAGGCTATATTGTATACCTTCTCTATAGCTATGTTATATACCTTCTAGACTGTAGTACTGATGGTCTTATGGTCATTTTATGGTTAGATGGCTTTGGATGGACAATTCTTAATTCACTCAGATAGGTGATCAAAGTGGCTTGATAATATCTATCACTTTCCACGATTTGTGTGGTTTAGCTAATGCCTTATTTTATTGCTCTGTGTCTAAACCTCAATCCTGTTACTTATATGACTTTTAAACCTTTTACTGATCTAGATCACTAATTGGATTAATAAAGTTTTCTAGAATAGGAATACTTTGTTTACTTGAGGCCTTTTTTAGATGTAAGAAAGCATATTTTCCTTATTCTTTAGATAAAAGATAGCATCTTCCATGCCACTCTCTGCTCTTCCTTGTTCTTTGATGATGTTCATCCTCATGTGTCTCCTTATGCTTCTTTTAACATTTCATTGTTGGTAATGCTTTTCAGTTTCTCCTCTCCTTTCTCATTTCTTCTTTATTTGCTTTTCCTTATTTCATATTTTCCCTATGATTGTCATCTTCTTTTCTTGTTTACTAGATGTTCTGTAACTTTAAACTTGTCCTTTTGATAAACACATATCTTTTGCTTTCTGTATCCTTCCTTTCTTTTTATTGTATCTGCCATACATTTTCTTCCTCTCTCCATGCTTTTTTGTTGGCGGACAATTCTTTTTTTTTTTTCTCAAATCTTGTGTTCTTTGGGTACAAACTAAAGCTCGGCTGAAACAAGCATCTATCAATATCAATCATGTACAAAAATATACAATCAAGATAATTTGAGTGACTTCTCCAAGAATTTGATGACCAGAAATAAGGGATATATAGCTGTTTAATCATGTATTTAATGGAAAGCAAACCTGGAGTAAATAATTGTTGTGGCTCAAATGAATGATTAGCTCAGACCATGTAGCAAGTTTATTCTCATTTTCTTCAAATAAGTGAGTCAACGAGATTTTATTATGGAATTTTAGGTAGAAACCTTATTGATCAGGTATAACTTTAAAAAGGAAGAATTGAAATAAAAGCCCTCATTTGCTTTCTCAGGCTAATGAGTGGTAATACATAGATGCTCTATGCGATTGTTTCTCCTCATCTTTCCCACCCCTTTTCTTCTTCCTGTTTGTATGTTTGGTCCGTCCTTTATGAGATTTCTTTTTATGAAACCAAATTTAGACTCCTTCGAGTTCAGGGATTGTGACTTCTTAAATATTATACTTTAACTATGAGTTATGCTATCCTAACAGATGTACATGATTATGCTTTTCTCATATGTTTATTTATTAAATTAATAGATAAGTCTAATAAACCACATATTTGGAAGTAAATATCAGCTCTGTCATATCTTATCTTAGTCCCATTTCTCCTAACTCTGAACTATCATAGAAATTGTTTCACTAACATTTCCCTATCATGTGTTGTATCAACTGCCTTTAGTGTTGCTTTATCTCATGTTCTTTAAAGGCCCAAGTTCGTAGTGTCTCTTCTCCATTATAGCATGAATTTTTCTCTTCATATTGAAGATATGTATGTTACTTAGGTAGATTGACACAATCGACTTTTTCAGTCCCTATTATTATTTAGCTGATAAAAGTTACACACAAATGTCATTTGTATTATAAAATATGTTATTACCTGTCAAGTTGTTGCTCATTGAACCACAGAGCTGCTTGTATGTTAAATGTTCAGGGAAGTCATAAAAGTCTTGCAATCTATCTATTAAGACCTTACTCTCTTCTCATACTTGTGTGGTTCTTCTATTGGCTGGAGCCAGTTACAACAAGCCACAGTTCCAAGTAACATGAGGTGGATTATGTAGATATCTTCCCTGCATTGAGCTCTATTCAGGGAACCTTCAAAATTTTTTTTTGGTGTTTAGCATTTAAAATTCTGTATCAATTTGAGTCCAAACTCTTTGTTTTTCTTCAAGTAAATGTTAGCGTGGATTTTGGTTGTCTTATCAATTATCAGTTTATCAGTTGTATACTTAAATGATGATATTTCTCCTTTGAACTCCATTCCATTGCTGGAGGCACCTATAATCACTTTTTTTACTACAGATAGCCAGTCACAAAAGGGGTTCTACGTGTTTCTGTTGCAAGATGCAAGAATTTCTGTAAAGTTTGTAGAAATACTGAATGCTAGATTGATGGGCCACATTGAACGAAACTTGAACAGATTCAAAATGTTGGATCCTGAAGTATTTATTACTTCTCTTAAATGGAAAAGGAGTTTGTTCTTATGTCTAAAGCCTTTCATTTGTGTGATTGCAGCTAGATTTAGTATTACGAAGTTGGCATGGAGTAAATTATCATGTGTAATTGAGCAATAGTAATTTACTATCATCTTTTTTCTTGTAAATATTAGTTCATATTGATTGGTGCAGCTTGTATTGCTTTCAGACCACTGCTTCACAAAGCGGGCTTTTTGACCATTTGATCAACATTTGGGAATTTAATCCTGGACCAGTTCCTGGAACTTGTGACCTTTATTTCTTGGTGGATTTTAAGTTTCAGTCACCACTATATCGTCAGGTAAATTTTGAATTGTCTTCCTTCTTTTTTTCCATATATTTTCAAGTTGATTTTGTTGATACACAATGAAATTTTGAGATGTAATTTTCATTCACATGTAAGTACCTGAAAGTGAATCATGAATGACTGACCTTTGTCTGGCATCATGCACATTGCACTTATATTCTCTAACACATTTAGAATCCGTCTTAGAAGATTCAAATTTACTTGTTCAAGTTATTGGACATGGAAGTCTGTTGTTTAGATTTGTTTTCAGTATCTTCGAAAGTGTGACCAAGAAGTGTCATTGTTCTTCTCACTTTGAGAACTATTTAAACTTTTGTAGATTTTTGAAACAAAAATCTTATGGGGGGCCATAGTCCTGGAACTGGTTAAAATAGGTTTTACATAAATTGAACATTTTTCTGCATTATAACTGAGCTTTTTTTTTTTGCACCTTAACTCTGCATCTGATTAGTGTGTCTTTTTTTTTCATCACTTCTGGCAGGTGGCATCAATGTTTTTTAAGGAAGTAGTCTCCCGACTAGTCACTTCTTTCAGTGATCGTTGTCACAGAATTTATGGTCCTGCCGTCCGGGTGCTTGAAACACCTTATGGACAAACCACTAAGCCTGGTCAGTCATCTTGAGCAGGTTAAGTGATGAAGAGGTCTGCCTAAGGGCAGTGAATAGTCTTAGGGTAACATGATTCGGAGTTAGCTGGCCTATTTTCAACTGGAACTTCATGGATCAGCCTGATCAACAACAGAATATCCAAATTTTCTCGAAACCATATTCACCATTTTTTCTTTCTATTCTCAAGCCCTGAAAAATTATTGTGCAAGGATTCTTTGTTGGGAAGGCACCTGAATCTTGTATCTTTACATATCATCTTGATAAGAGACATGCAAACATGAAATTTAAATATTTTTACCTGCAAGCAGCATTGATATTGCAGAGGAGATTAAAAGGCATGTTTTGTTTAGTTACTTGTGATGTAGTGATTTTTTTTCCCTATTTAATTGACAAAAAGTGTTTGGGATGGAGAAATAATGTCCCAATGCAGAAGGCAGAGTCCTATTTCCTGTGTCTTTGGCCAGTTTGCCAAAAGGTTGCTGTTGAGGACTGTGGTGGCTATTACTCAGAATGGTGGAAGAAAAGTTGATCTGCTTCCATGGGAGTCAGTTTAGTTTTGCAGTCTGGTCTATCTTAATCTATACAGCACACAGTTTTAGGCAACAATACTTTTTGCTATGGTTCAATCTTGTTGAGGACATGGCTGCATGTATTGCTCTGTTGAATTCCTTCCATATGTTTGTTTATGTTGAATTCCTCTATAACTTTAGGCTGCAAAACATAAATGGAGAATAGAGCATGGCATAAAATACTAAAATGATACTCCAGTGGTGGAGCTTTCACTCTTTCAAATATACACAACGAATAGATATGCTATTTTTGCATTGAATTGCATTGTTGAAGAACTATACTATTTTGCCCGTTGTTAGGCAACATATATAAATGGATAATAACGGAGACTATAATAATTAACGGGTTTTAATCTTAAAAAATAAAATAAAAATAAAAATCGATAATTGAAGCATCGGAATAATTAAGGATACATGAAAGAAGATATTATTCTATCGTTAAACTTCATCTTCACGAAGTATTTATTTATTATAATAAATTTGGTGAACTACATCTCTTTAATTAACAATCCATTCTATATATCTTTTTATTAACCCTCAGGTAAATGATACTGCAAACTAAGGAAATTTTACAAGAAATAACATAAAAACAGATTTATTGTACGTTTTGTTCAAATGATCCCATTTTGTTTGGGGGGCAATACAAAGCTTCTTATTAGTTCTCTGGAAAGCCTTGAGCACGTGACCCGAACGTGACTGCTCAAGGCGGCTCCTCCCCTGGTTCGAAACCCCAAGCCTTCTGCACGTGATTCCAACATCACTGCTCAAAGCCCCCCTCACTTTCCCCACGTGACACATACGTGACTGCTCTTAGTCTCTTTTTTACGCCTCCGCTTCCGCCCCGCGTAAACCCTTGTAGCTCTTTGTTGCGTCCGCTTCAAACCCTAACCCTAGAAACGCTAATCGCGATCGGAGAGCCATGTCGATGTCTAAGGGCTCCAAGATGCTACAGTACATCAACTACCGGATGCGCGTCACGATCCAGGACGGCCGCCAGCTAGTGGGAAAGTTCATGGCCTTCGACCGCCACATGAACCTCGTCCTCGGCGACTGCGAGGAGTTCCGCAGGCTGCCCCCTGTCAAGGGCGCTGCCGCTGCGGCGGGCAAGAAGCCCGGCGAGGAGCGGGAGGACCGCCGCACTCTCGGCCTCGTCCTCCTTCGCGGTGAGGAGGTTGTGTCAATGACCGTCGAGGGCCCTCCGCCCCCCGACGAGTCCCGCGCTAAGGCCCACGCCGCCGCAGCTCTTGCTGGCCCCGGCGTTGGCCGCGCCGCCGGTCGCGGCATCCCTACCGCGCCTCTCGTCCAGGCCCAGCCCGGGCTCGCCGGGCCCGTGCGTGGCGTCGGCGGGCCCGCACCCGGGATGATGCAGCCACAGATCTCGCGCCCTCCGGTGCCTCAGCTGTCGGCCCCGCCTGTCTCCTATCCTCAGGTCATCCGCCCTCCGCCGCCGGGGCAGATGCCGGGTTACCCAGGCCAGCCCCCGTCGGTCGGCCAACGCCCACCCACAGGTATGCCTGTTCAGTTTGCTGCGAGGCCTGGGGCTCCACCACCGCCATTCCCGGTGCCGCCACAGATGATGAGGGTCCCTCCGCCGGTGATGCGGCCTGGTATGCCTGCCCCACTGCCGCCAAGGCCAGGGATGCCACCACCGCCAGGTGGGCCGGTGCCTGTGTTTGCTCCACCAAGACCTGGAATGCCACCACCACCTCCGCCAAATCAACAGTGATTCACTGGTATGTTATTTTGGCGCATTTACTTGGAATCTCCTTAAATGCTTCGTGCTTAAACTTTAGCTATAACTTGTGGTTCAGTGGTTATCCCAAATCTTTAATGTAAAGCATTAGCAGTAACTAAACATAGAGATTGACTGGGCACGCTTTGGGGCAACTAGCTTGTGAGCTCTTGCCACCAAAATTGTTTTGGAATGGTTCCTTTAAAAGGCATCGAAGAATGAATTTTGGTTTCCCACAAAATTAAAGCTTTAAGCTAATGATAAAATAGTGAAATGGTTTCCACATAGTTAATGGCATACTGAATCTTACTGGTTCTGCTTTCCATGATTTCATTTCCCTCTCATAATTGCTGATTTACACTTTGAGTGGGCATATCAGTAATATGCAAAGTCAGTTCTATTTTGTCCACAGCACAGAAACATGTGGTATAAGCAAGGTAAAATGACGTTAATACAAGCAAGGTAAAGTGGCTTATGCCTTTGTTTGATCTAGCTTACTTTGTCATTTATCTATGAGAGAATTTATGCCAGATGGATGTGTATTTTTTTTCATGACCCATAAATAATAATTGAAATCCTGCACATATTTTAAGTTTCAATCCCCTCATTTTTTTGGGTTTTTTACATATCTATTTTTTTTTCAAAATATTTGGAAATAGCATATTTTGTCATATCTACATCCCTCTAAATATTAAGATCCTTATATATCCCCCAAATATCAGTTCTTTCACATATATCTCTCCCTAACATTCATCGTGAAAAACTCAGGTTAACCATGACAATAGACTCTTTTAGTTTAAATTAAAAAAGATATGTATATAATAAACTCTTGATGTTTTTATTATCATAATGAGTTTTTAAAGAATATCATTGTTATTTAGAGTCAATTAATATTCAAATGATTGTTAATGTATGGAGATTAACCACAATGGTATACATGCATGCAACATTATATATATATATGTGTGTGTGTGTGTGTGTGTGTGTGTGTGTGTGTGTCCATATACACATATACATACATATATATGTATATATATGCATGTATGAATTTTTTGTTTTTTTTTCTATAATATGGTTTCCTTTTAGATGCTTTTATATATGAAAATAGGGTTAAATAAAGAGCCTAACAATGTAGTTAAGCAGTTTAACAATTATTTATATCTGTGACGTCAGGTGGTACATGCTGGTGTATTGATTGAGATTTAATTCCTTGGACTACATGTTATCGCCACCATGATGATGAAGTTTCACTTGTATTGGATCAAAAGTGAGGATTAGCTATTGTTTATCTTTTTGTACTTGTACTAATATATAGGACTTAGATGACACAACATGAGAAAATGAGAAGAAAATAGAAATAAATGGAGCAAATAAATGATTTAAATAAAAACTTTAATAAAGCCAATTGGATTATTATTTGAATAGACACTTTAATGTGGATTTAACTAGAATGAGGTTGCTGGGTGTGAAAATGGTCTGATGCATATTGACTTAGTGGAAAAATTATACCAATATCCACTTTTCTGCTTAGCACATGAATTCAGATACAGATATTAAATGGAGACTAAATTTTGTAGCCATATTTGTTTAATGGGGACATGCATATACACTGATTATATAATGGATATGTATTCAAATGACATATCAGGCTAATTTATGTGTAAATATTATTTAAATCTGGGAAAAATAATTAAGAAACTAGTTAAAATTTATTAAACATATTTCTTAAATATGAAAATAGAAAAAACGTAAAATATTTGCACACTATATTAAACACCAAAAAACTACTTTTCCTAGATTAACATGGATTAATTTAATAGTTCCCATTATATTTGGATATTTTGTTGTGAACTCAACCGATAATCATTCTCCAACTTAGAAGATATTGGATAGTGGGATCTCCATAGAAATATAGATATGTGATAGAGATACATCTACTTAACCATATTTATAACCAACTTCACCTAGATGCCAAAGTTAGATTCAGGCATATGGTATTTGTTTTCACCCCTAGTGATTGCATTTCCTCAGTCCAGTTTAGAAATTTGTTGTTCTCATGGTTTGATAAATGATCTTTTGCTTCTGTTAATTAATTAGGATTCTTCGTTGAAGACTTCTCCAGAAAACTGCAGAATAATATAGTTGTGGAGCATGATTGTTAAATACATAATTTCTAGGATACTTCTTGCTTAAAGAACGGAGATAGGTGAAGTATAATAAACCTTCTATAACATTCACTTTCTTTTTCTTCTTCTTGATAAGTCTAGGAAACAAAGGTAGAAACCTAAGAGATGTTGCCATGACAACTTATAAATTTTCACAAAAGATCTCATGACAGATATTAAAATATTTCCAGAGGAAAAAATTAATTACAAAGATTTAAAATATGTTAATTGAACACGAATTGAGTTCATCAGATTTATGTTGGTCCTTATTTCCAGCCTAGAATAGATCCAGAAAATATGTTGATTTTCATGTGAAGAGGTTTCCAATCCTAAATGTACCTTCTTCCTCGTCTTTTTTCTTCTTGATGGTGAGTTGGTTTTGAACTGGTGTCACCTATTTGGGGTGGTATACCACAAAACTCAATCCTTGTATATGACATTTATATCATCTTTGTTATTCTGTAGTCTGTACTTAAGAACATATGTAGGATGCTATCATCTCCAATTATTTGTTTCGGTAATGTGCATGTGTTGAGGGCATACTTCATATGATATTTTAGATAAGGTCATTAGCATTATGTATCTCAAACTTTGTATTCCTTCATGATCTAGCTAATCAGAGTTTGCAATGTGACATCAATCTCTCTGCTGGCATGGGTAGATCAGTTATTGTTGATCCTCATGAGATCCCACATTGACGGGAGTCTTAGTTTTATCAACTAATTAGGCAACTTTTTTTATTTGGACTTTGAATTTCTCTGAATGCGTGCACTCTCCTAATTTTTGTTTGTGTCTGAAGTATATTTTTGATGGTTACTTACAAGAATAGTTCTCGTATATCTTATGAATCACTTGGTCATAGGCAGTCCAATTTATACAGTTTTTTTCATGCATAAGATTACTGTGTCTATATCATGTCTGTCTCCCATGTTCATTTCTGTGCTTCATATTTTTTTTCTCTATTTATGGATTTTATTTATAGCTAATATAGGGTTTTAATTGGAGATTTTATCATCCCAATATTATGTATATTGTTCTAGGGGCTGATTCTTCATGTATCCTACCCATCATTTTCTTCTACTTAAATGCCATGTAAAAACTGCTCATTATCTGGAAACCATCATATTGTACCTGAAGCAAATAGTTACCATCAAGATTGAAGATGCAGTCTGTACTAGTTTGTAGTCGTGCCACTTGAGCAGGAATGACTGTTCTTCCCCTGTCGTTGTTATGGGCTGGGTGGGTTAAAAGTTTAGTAAAAGTGAGGTACCTCATGTACTAGTTTGTTGGAATCATATATTTATAGGATTTTGTCTTATACAAATTTGCTGGACTGCCGGAGTTAAGTCTGTAAGATATCAGTTTATAGTGGAGAATATAGGTGTTGTGAATACTAAATAGAAAATAGTAATCTTATGGAAATGACCATATTGTACCTATTTGCTTCTTTTATAGGTATACACAAAAACAGGCATAGTTAATGAAGTAACCATGAAAAAAAAAGAAATTCATAAGGAAACTTTTGATTCTGGGATGTAGAAATGTAAATAGAAGACAAGGATCTTGTGAGGGAGCCCTAAAAGATAACCATGTACTCCAAACTGTCTGCCTGGTGAATCGATTTATGTTGAAAAGGAATTTAAGTTCCGCCATCTAATGATTTTGGTTTATGATTGCTGGAACATATTCAAGTCTTTGTCTTGCTAGCTGCTGATGTTGAGTCTTATTATGTATTCTGTCACGATCATATATAGACCACCTGACAATTCTGATAATATAATATGTGCTTTGACTTTTGGGCGCAACCATACAGTCAAGTATACATGTAGTAGAAGTTTTGAATCATTACAATATTCGGAGTTATACTCGTGTTGTAAGGTTCCATTGTAGCAATTTCAATCTCTCCTTTGGAATGACTTCTGTCTCACTTTTTCTTTGCTTGACACTAGTTAAATTTATTTCTCTAATAAAGTGACTATTGCTGCTATCTGTTGGAAAGTCAAGATTGAATGTCTTCTTTTGCGGAATTTGATTTGGTGCACTTTTTTGCTTTGCCAGGTATATCCAGTTTTCTTGGCAACCGTGGAGGGTCTTGTGTCTCTGTGTTATCTAGCCTTGATCTGCATCAGCTTTCTGCGTGGAAGATCTTATCCATAGCTTGGAATTACAATGTGCATGCTATATGACGAGTACTCGATACAAATTCTGAAGTTTGGAACCCTATGAACCTCTAGTTATGGTTTGAAGTCTTTTTACCATCTATCTCGAATACCTGAAACTTTCAGAAGACTAGTGTTGTTATGTTGTCACTTTTCAAGTTCATCTGATGATTTTATCACATCATCCTCTTGCAGATATAGTGAACAGAAGCTTTATAACATCTGCTATCAGTTTTTTTCACAAAAACTCTGCACCAGCTTGAAACACTTTTGTTCTCAGTGCACTTGGCACTTCCGCACCGGAAACAACATGTAGATATCATGATAGTTTAGATAGATTCATATCAAGTTACCATTTCATTCAACTGCCCCTCGTAATGTATGAAATTTTCTACATCCAGCAAATGTAATCATCATCCATGAGTGAACTGAATCATCTGTCAAAGTTATTTATTATGACAGTTCTCTTTGGATAATAACAAAAGCCTACGTTTTTCTATAGTGATTCATTATAAATCATGATAATAATTTGTAATCATTTTAATATGTCTCCATAAAGAAGGAGGCAGTTAATCATGCTAAAATAAAATAGTTTTATACTGATCAAACGTGTAATTCCAAAATTACAGGGAGCACCTTAGATATAATTCTGGGTTTCATGCAATTACGAAGTGCTGATTCGTGACCTAGCCTACAATGCCACAGGTATACACTATTTACCTCATCTCGTTTCCTCTTAGACATATTTACATTCATAATATGTGGAGTAGTGTCTAGCATAAACAAACCATTATGCAATGTTCCTTTCGTGATGATCTCATTATCTAATAATATCGAACAACCATTGTTCTCAAAAACTAATTTATATCCACTGACTATCAAACATGAAATGGAGATAATATTTTTGATAATAGAAGGAACAAAATAACATGCATCTAATGCAATAAAAGCTCCACCAGGTAGATGTAGGGCGACATTGTCAATAGCTACTATAGCAACTTTGGCTCCATTGCCCATCTTGAGGTCCATCTCGCCTCTCTCTAGCCTCCTAGGCCTTGCCAGAACCTACAATGAATTGCATATATGATAAGCACTATCAGTATCCAATACCCATGTGTTATCATAAGAGTCTAACAAATGGAGACTGATCATGAATATACCTGAAGCTTCGCCAAGCTTCTATTTCGCCCTCTCTTTTGTTAGGATCAAGAGCACTAAGAGGGGGGGGTGAATTAGTGTAGCGAAAATCTTTCGACGATAAAAAAACGTTCGAACGATAAAAGCGATTTCGGTGTGAAAGCCGATTCTAAGATTACTTTAACTTAAAATCAAATGAGATGACATTAAAGTAAATCTATGAAGGCAGTTTGCAGTTATGATGAAAATCAGAATATAAGCGCAAACTGAAATACGACGTTCGTACGATAAAAACGATTTCGGTATGAAAGCCGATTCGTAAACCACTTTAACTTGAGATGAAGCGAGATGCAATTAAAGCAAAGATATAAAGGCAGTTTGCAGTTATGATGGAAATCAGAACGTAAGCGCAAACTAAAATATGATGTTCATACGATAAAACTGATTTGCGTCTAAACGCCGATTCAGAAAGCACTGAACTTTGAAACACGTTCATAAAAGCACAGAAGGCAATAAGCTATTGAGGAGGTTTGCAGTAAAGATAAGATGCTCAAAGTAAATGCAAACCGATATTTAGAGTGGTTCGGTCAATTTTGACCTACTCCACTTTTGGCTTCCTCCACCGACAAGGTCACCGACGTCAACTTCGATCGAGACAATTAATCCTAAGCAATTAACCAAGTTGTCCGATATGTCATTGGTCCCTCGACGCTTCGTCCGATTCTTCACCGCATCGTCCTCTCCTGCAGCCTATTGCCCAATCGGCCAGTTGACTCCGCAACTCTGATATCCTTGGCACAATACCCACTCTTCTTAGCTCGATGCCCGAGTCCACGACCCGAAGCCTTCTGTCGATACGTCGACCGATCCACCGGCCCGACGTCCAATCTTCTGACATGTTTGTTAGGATCGGAGCGGCACTAAGAGGGGGGGGGGTGAATTAGTGCAGCGGATTAAAACTTCGATTTTAATAAAATCTTTCGTACGATAAGAACGGAACTTGAAAAGTTTAACTTGAAAGCGTATTCTTAAAGTTGCACAGCAAGGGTAATAAGGAACTAAAGCAGTAAGAAGATTTGCAGTAATGTAAATGACAATAATAAAATGCAAACCAGAGATTACGCTGATTTTTAGAGTGGTTCGGTCAAATGACCTACTCCACTTGCGATGCCCCTCTTCGATGAGGCTCGAGCCACGGTGTTTTACATGACTGTCCTGCACCCATGCTGCCACCAGTTTTTCATTGGCTGTTGTATTCTGGGTCCCGCATAAAAGTAACCAAATTTCCCCTCATGCCCTCCACTAGAACTTAAACCCATCGACCGTCGCCTTCACCACTTTTGTTTTGGCTTTCGTCGCTCGCTCCAATAGAAGTGCTGGGCTCTTCTCTGCCCTCCGCCTCCTCCTGCTCCCGTTCTCCGCCTCCGATCGGATCGGATCCTTCTTCTTCTCATCATCCTCCTCCTCCCCCTTCCCCGTCGACGCCATCTGCGGGGCCACTACTCATGACTATGATGACCCCGCCACCTCTCGACGTACGGTTTTCCCAATCCTCATCCCTCTTCCCGTTCCTCCTCGTAGTCCTCGATTCGCTAGCTTGAGGCGGCGCTCTGCTCTCGTTCTTCACCCGTTGGTTTCGTGCGTCCTAGTGAGGTTCACGTCGGCTTTAGGGTTTGGAGCGTAGCCTGGGCCCCACAAAGCGGGTTGGATGGAGATGCCCATTAACCCCACTGTGGCTTCTAGGGTGTTCTTTCGATCGCAGTGTTTGTGGTTTTTGCTGGATCTGAGCGCTGATCTGTGCCTTGGTTTTTGCAGCAGGAGGAAGAGGAGATGCTGGTTCCGCATCAGGAGCTCACTGAGGGACCCCAGCCGATGGAAGGTAACTGTTCTTCGTGATGGGCATTGGGGCTCTTAGTTGATTCGAGGTTCCGCCCCTTTAGCATTGGAAATTTGTGATCTTGCACGCTTGTGCTGATTGGAAGATGTGATTTTTTAAAAAGTTATTTTGTGTAATGGCTATTTGATCAAGTGATGGTTTAGGGTTTTGATGACAATATCTTCTTTTGCCTCACATTCTTTTTTGGTTAGTTACACAAACTGAGACGGCAACTACGCCAGAGAATCAACAGGTGGAGGATCCTCCTCCATTCAAATTTAGATGGACCATTGAGAATTTCTCCAGGTTGAACATCAAGAAGCTCTACTCTGACATTTTCTATGTTGGAGGGTACAAGTGGTGAGCAGATATGTGTAGTCCTTTTCCTGCTTCCATTTTGTTGGTACACGATTCATCCCATTTAGTTGGGACATGCCATCAGATGAGGTTAAGTGCTAATGCTTGCATTGATTGTTATAGGCGGGTGCTGATTTTTCCCAAGGGAAATAATGTGGACCACTTGTCCATATACCTGGATGTTGCTGATTCTACTACCTTGCCATATGGGTGGAGTAGATATGCACAGTTCACACTTGCAATTGTTAATCAAATTCATAGCAAGTATACGATAAGAAAAGGTATTATGTCTCTTATGTCATTACAACTTTTATCATTTTCTTGCAGCATATGGTTGAAGTGTTGCGCGGATGGGCACAAGAACATGATATGGGGCACATCCAAGTGCACAGTTTGGCAAGGAAGCATAATTAAGTCATGAGTGCATAGGATAAGAATATTTGAAAAGACAATAAATATAATACTGATGTTGTAATGTTATGAGAATGTAAAAGGAGGGAAGTTATTTTCATCAGAAGCCTGAGAATCACAACAGCTTTGTATTGTTATATCATAGAAATAGTACAATAAAGAGTGATGAGTATCCAACCTGCAGGTATGCATGTCTTGGTACAGATTTTGGGTGGATGGTAGAGTCCATGTGACTCTGGAATTTTGATGGTTCATCCATACTATGGATGTTTTTCTTTTTTACTAAACACTAATATGAGCTGCTTATGCTTTGCTTTCAGAATTGTTCCCATCTCATATCTTTCATAAACCTTTTTATATTCTGTCACTCTACCACAATCTTGAGCAAACTATCGTCATATTTTGGGCTCATGTGTATCAGATGTCTGGCCGACACAACCACCACTAGTAACAGCATTTTCCACGAAAAAGTATCATGCATGTTTTACTTCCACCACTTGTTGAGACACATAAATAGGTATAATGGCATAAAAGATGTCTTAACAAGGATGACACTGATCATTTGTTGGGACATACAATTCACAAGCTTGAACTTCTTTTGTTAGCTAAGCTATTTCTTTATGTGGTTCCTGCATAAGTAACACTTGGAGGAAAATTTCTAATTGCTCGTGTCAAAAAAATGTCTATGGAAACTTTTGATCTTTTGGTACTTGACCTCTATCCTTTCTCTCTGCAGAGACACAACACCAATTTAATTCACGAGAAAGTGATTGGGGTTTTACTTCATTTATGTCTCTAAGTGAACTCTATGATCCAAGTAGAGGATATCTTGTCAATGATACATGTGTAATTGAAGCTGAAGTTGCTGTCCGTAGGTTGATAGACTACTGGAGTTATGATTCAAAAAAGGAAACGGGTTATGTTGGTCTTAAGAACCAAGGAGCTACTTGTTACATGAACTCGCTTCTTCAGACTCTGTATCATATTCCATATTTCAGAAAGGTAGAACTGACAGCTTATGTAATATCTGTCTGATCAACTTGTTCAGTGATTAATTGTTTGAATCTTGTACTGCAGGCTGTTTATCATATGCCAACGACGGAGAATGATATGCCATCTGGAAGCATTCCCTTGGCTCTTCAGAGCCTATTCTATAAACTTCAGTACAGTGACAACAGTGTCGCCACGAAAGAGCTGACAAAATCTTTTGGATGGGATACATATGATTCTTTCATGCAACATGATGTTCAGGAACTTAACAGGGTTCTTTGTGAAAAATTGGAAGACAAAATGAAGGTTTGAAAGATGCTTTAAAAGGTTTTTCTGTTGATCCTTGCCTATCCTACTTGTCAAATTATTGTGTTTCCAATTTTTGTATCAGGGAACTGTTGTTGAGGGCACAATCCAGTATTTGTTT